ACACATTAGTTTGTCAATGCACATTTTCTCATTAAAGCAAAGCAATATATCTTCAAGACAAAGCATACTAGAGTTTTATGATACCTCTCTGTCAGTGGGCACATAATTGATAAGCGCTGCAGCCTCCCTCACACTTGAGTGGGCTACTTCAGGGCTGTCCGTGGTCGCTGTGGTGGTTCCAGTGTGGCAGCACATAGTGGTAACAAAGGTGCTAGTCGTTTCTGTTTTTGAGGCTTGCGGCGCAAGGTTATAGCTGCCTTGTTCTGATGCTTGCGGCTGCAACACCCGCAAAGGACAAGGTTCTTTGCCGCAATGAAAAAGTAGAGTGTGAAGAAATAAAGTATATTGCACCCTTAATTGTCACGGTAGCATCCTAGGTGTGCATGGTCAAATAATATATATGATAAACATAGCATGCAGTTGAGATATGCAATTAAAGTGTAATGATACGTTGCATGTCAAGTCTCAAAACCATGGTGTGATTATAGGGGATGCCATAGTGGAGGGCTCAAGAAATTTTGACCAAGTGGTGTTCTTTTTAATATCCACCACACTGTAAAAGTTGTAAAAGCACATTTTCAAGTGATTAAAAAAACATGCATGCATCCCTGCCACCCATGAGCTTACATTGCATTCTGCTTTTCAGCAAAATTACATGCTATAAGAATAGGGCAACTTGCTGCTGCATACAACCCTAGCAGCAGTGCGTTACAACAGCTTATGAAGAAATGATAAACCTGTTAGGAAATTTTTGCTGCAAAGGGCATTTTCCAGTAGGCTTATTCTTTCTAATACTTTTGTATTTTGAGCCCTCAGCATATATATTCACTTCTTTCAGAAGCTCTTTCTCTGTTTTTTTTTCAGCATCAGCAAACGGCAGGCCTACCTGCTGCTTCTTAAACGGTTGCTGACATGCTTTGTCTTCTGCTTAACAGCAGCTTGATGTCGTGTTTCTTACAACTGCAGACAACCCAACACACAAACTTCACTGCTAGTTCGCAAGCACAAACAGGGTGTATACCCGCACAAGCAAAAATAATTTTAAATCAGTCAGTTGTACAAAAATATGTGACTAAGCTGCGCTCATACCACGATAGAATAAAATAAAATAGCTCTTCAGCATACTGCAACTTTACTACCACCTTCAATACGACGTTCCGGCGCCCGCGCAGTAGTGGAGCAGCGATGCTCTGATATATTCGCTGAGGAGGTGGGGAGTATATCAGAGCATTGGTGCTTCATGTGTGACACGGCACCACGCGCAGAGCAAAACTGGCTGTTGATTATAATAGCGCCGCAGTAGCACACCAGCCGCAATGTCAACGATAGCCAAACTTGGCTGTCGGTAATAATTACACTGCAAGTAGTATATCAGCTGCAGTGTGACCAATTGCAACTTACTTTTTAAACGACTCATTGTCCACTTCATTTGAACTGCAGCTATCGGAGGAGTCGCAATTGGGTCTGCGGAATGGATGGTCGTTTTTCCGTTGTATTCCTTGCATCATCCTCGGTGCCTAAGAAAATATGACCAGTAAATAACTTCAGAATGATTGCTTACTCCTCTTTGTTTTCGTATTGGGAATACGAGAGGCGTGGACTTACCGTAAAGCTTAATCACTTGAGCGTGATAGTGGCCGCAGTGTGTGTTATCCTTCCAGAATACCCGGTACCACTTGTGAGGATCAAAATTGCCCGTATCCTTCGGATTGATGTACTTACATGCACTTACCGGGACTATTAATTTTTAATTATCATCGTGAAATCAAACATCTTGGAGAATTGTGAGTGTACAGGCGCGATACTGAGCAATTAAGAGACGCAACAATGTTCACATGCGCTACACATGCACCAAGGCCGCCACGAACTTGCTATTGACGACGAATGCAGTGACATTTGTGGATCTCCAAACTTCTGTGGATCTGCCAAATAGTTTATGCAACCGCGAGTCCACGACTTCTTCCTCAACACAACGCAATTTAGTTTATAAAAACAAAAATATTTATTTGCAATAAAACATTTACTTCATGTTTTTACAACTTTATAGGGTAGTTTTTTAGCGCTCACAGCAAATTATATATAAACAATGAACGCAGTTACTGCAAGAATGTGACGCTGTGCATAGCCTCCAAGATGGCAAACGCAAAATGAAGGGCGCGCAGCGGCAATTTCAGAGGTCATGCGCTAAGTCGCCATATTCGCGTTGGTTAGGCTAGATGGCGTTAGCCGCTGCCCAATTTAAAGAATACAGCCATGTCAATCCATTCATCCATCCATCTATCACATCATTATCGCTACAATCATCTAGCCATAATGGCAGTCAGCGACCACCATGGCGACGACCAGCTTACTCCGTGGCGACCACAGTACAATACACCTTCAGCACGCGGGGTGTTCTGTAGGGTCACTACCTCGCGCCGTGATCTCGCGGCACATGATATAGTTTTCGGCAAAATCCGCGCCGCGTGCTTAACATTCAAGGCACAGCAAGCAGGTTGTGAATGTGAAGCCTTGGTCGATGTAATCGATCTTTACCCGTTCCCGTGTGCTCAGATTTGGGTGCACGTTAAAGAACCCCAGGTGGTCGAAATTTCCAGAGCCCTCCACTACGGCGTCTCTCATAATCAGATGGTGGTTTTGGGATGTTAAACCCCACATATCAAACAATCGATCTATACCCGTTCACTTATTATCAGTCCCGCAGCCTCACTTTGCGTGGACATCATCAAGCGCGCTATTTGAAGTTTGTGTCAAGTTTGACGAGAGATGGATTCAACTCGAACCCAGCCTCGATCAAAAAAAAAATTGCTGTTTGGAGCCTGGATCGCAATATGTAGTACCTCGGACAAGGAGCGGTGGAGGCACAGTCGGCCAACCAGCTACACTCAGCAAGAGCATTCCTTAGTCTTTAGCTAGTAATTGATGTTCTGGAGTAGCGGCCTTCGACACGCGACGTCTGAGTGATGCGCATGGTGGCAGCAATAAAAATCCTGATCCCGACGACACTTACGGCTTCGAGGAAAACTCGCTCAGCGATTCCGACCGGACTGCAGATGGCGGCTCGCGACATTGTTGGCATGAGCGACACTTTTTTAATGCAACAATGGCATGTATTTTACACTGGTGCATGCCAATAAACTGCCAGGCTCTGTGTGTGTGCTCATGTGTGTGAGGCTTACATCAAAACTATTCAAGAACCCATCTCACGTTGGTATTTGCTGAGAAACAAAGAAAAAAAGTTGTGGTTCTGCCGAAGGATGTGGCCAGTGTGTTTGCACATGAAAGTTGGATGTGTTTGCTGTGTTGCTGATATACCAAACTTGCTTAAAACTTGTGACATATATAGCCAGTTTATTATGAGTTTAGCAAGGTAGGACAACTAAATGTTGGCTTGATCCTTTCTATTGTTGTTCTCTTCACAACTGAACTTTTCTCATGATAGGCAGTATCTTGTGTGTGTGTGTGTGTGTGTCTGTTTGTGTGTGTTTTGAAGTCAAATGCTTTAGCCTTAATTAGTACATGGTTTTTGATTCATCAATCTTGTGAGGATTACAGGCAAGTAATATAGCAGGTCTGTGCCACCGCTTGGGCTTTGTGAAAAGACACACCTGTGAATAACAGATGCTGCTATCAACATATCAGCCAAATCTTGCAGCTGCAAGTAACTTTTTTCATATAGATGACTGTAGTCACTTCGAATTTTCGGATGCCTGTATGTGGTGTGAAACAACTGAAAGCATGCTATAGGCCTATAGCCAAAATAAATCAAGAGCAGCGTTTTAATCGAATGTGCTTCTTGCCACAGTGTGCTGCCACATGCTGGCGCTGCTGTCCAAAATCTTCTAACATTGCATAGTCACACTCACACATAGAAATGGCAACACGAAAAAGCTGCTGTGTTTCTTCAAGCATGCTCTAGCTCATAATGTGTGCATACATATCGCACTTCTTTACTGCCGATCCTCTCTGTAATTTTCGGCACAGCTTGTTGGGACTGCTGACAAAAAAAATAAAGTGGTTGAAGTACGCGATAAACCCCTCAACTTGCTTTGAAATATTTCTGGCAGTGGATTTGCGAGGCATTAAGTTTTGATGATGAGGTCAATTAATGATTACTCAAAGAAGCATTTCATTGTTTCTTTAAAGTATCTCATCCAGTATGGATTATGACAGTAATGTAGTGGCTCGTCAATAAAGGCAAAGCACTATGTGGGAGAGGCAGCTGGGGTTGGCTTGTGTTGTGAGAGGGAGAAACTGCAGCACCACCTGAGGCTTTCGAATCCACGCCGTTTGGAAAAACTATTGTATCAGCATGCTCATTTCACAGTTGTGGACTGGTTATTAAGTTATCTCCCTTGGATCGTTTACTGGCCCTATAACTTAAAATTTAGAAATTATGTTAATATAGCCCTGTGATGAGAAGTTTTGTTTGTATTGTTTCAAGTTATGTTTATGCTGTCATCTGATAAGCTTTGGATACTAGTATCTTGAAATTTCTAGGTGTGATCTATCATTGTCAGCATTAACTGTGTTGCTGTCTGGCACCTGCAATCCCATTTGTACACAGAATAAAGCGTTCATCTAGGCTGAAAGCTGCTTTGCATATTTAAAGCTCAGTTTGTCAATTATGCACCATCATGAAACATTGTACATTTCATTCTATGCATCCAAAAGCTGCCAGTTGCACTCTTTGAGTCATCATAATATTTCACACAATGGTCGTCAAGTGTTCAATAAAAAACACTGATACACTAATATACATGCAGAAATGACCAATCACATATATGTGGGCAGTGTGTTTAAAAAAAGAACTACCGTTAAAATGACAGTAATGCATCTTATAAAGATCCGATAAATGAACAAAAGACTAAAAACCTATAGACTAATATATACATATAAATGACCAATCAAGCTTATTCAAAAGCTGGTAGCACTGGTAAGACTGTGTATCAGTCTGATATGATACTGGTAGCACTGGTAAGAAAGTGTATCAGACTGATATGAATGTCTATAAGAACTGGTAAGACTTTTTATCAGTCTGGCACAAGACTGGTACAACTTATAGGATACTGTATCAGACTGATTGAGACCTAGCTCTATCAGAATTTGTGCTAGGGTTGCCGCATATGAAGCAAGGGCGTAGGCAGCAATAATGTTTCCGATGGGAGAGAGGCACAATTGTCATCTAAAGTGGAGGCCGGGCAGGCAGATGTAGTTGAGTATCATTTTGGGGTCTGTTATACAGGGAAAAAAATTTCTGGAGAGAGGAGAGAACATGCCTGGTCTTCTACCCTCTGGCTACACCACTGGCCTTTGCCTTGCCACAGTGAATGTAGTGAAACTGGTTATGATCAGTCAAGTCTCAAGGAAGTTTTTATTTCAGTTTCTGCATACAAATTGGGGTTGGCGAAAGAAGAGCAACAAATTTAACATCGCTTCACGGGCCTCATAAGTGGGGACATTTAGCTTGTGCATGTACTTTTTAACTTTACCGTCTTAACACTCCTTTCTGCGACGTTATGGCGGGAAGGAACTTGCAGCATTGCCAGCTCTCGGGAAGTGTTTTAAATCACAAAATGCACCAGTAGTTGAGGATTAGCGGTTTTTAGTGGGTGGAGCTTTAGTGACGAATTTGATTATATCTGTAAGAGTAGCATCGACAAACAAAGACAGTTGCCTATCGGATAACAAGCATGACAAAAGGAGGCAAAGTGCATTTGATGTGTTGGCTGGGTCACTGCAGTGGCTTCACGCAGTTCACGTACAAACTTTTCTTCTGATGACAGGGGTTTTGGTTTTTTGTTACTGATTGTATGCTGATCATTGAATGGTACAATTTGAACTGCTTTGGCATCACAAGTTCTCCTTCTTGTAGTGTGTGTAAATAATTTATAAAGTCATTAATTCTTTTGCAATGTACTCATGCATGACCTTTCTGTGCAGTGTACGCACGGATTTCGTCGGCCACCGGTTGTGCTTGTGTGTTCTTATGTGCACACCGTACGACAAGACAACGGCCTGGCAGATGGTGGCTTCCCGACACCGAGGCGTCATCTATCTACGTATCCATCCGACAAAGAAGGAAGTGCACGAATACCTCAAAGGGAGGAAGGACAACTGCTCTGTGGATCGCATGACATACTGGGGCATCAAGTTTCACCGCATCATGAGCACAAGTGAAAGTCCAGTATTTCCTAACACGATGAAAAGTTGATGCTCCGGTTATTCCTTCTAACATGCAGCATAAGGCGGAATTTCTGCAAGTGCGCAAATAGGCAGTACAGTATTCGCACACAAAGTTAAACCCACATATATCGAGCTCACAAAGTATGGGAATTAGTTTGATATACTCTGCAATTCTATATAACGGTTTTAAGAACTTTGCCGATTTATGGTGAATGGTAGTGTGGAAGTAAACATCATAGTAATTCGCGGGACGGTTTCCAGAAGTTTCGATTCTAGTCATCTGTACTATTTTTCTTTACTATTTTTTCTTTTTTGAAAGAAAACATGCAAGCGTGTGAGAGATAGACTAGTTCCACGCATGTGAGGTGGTGTTGTTGCTAAATGTAAAAGTGAAAGAAATTGGAAGAAGGTGGTGGTGTTCCTTCTACCACCTACGCTCCCGCCACGAATGTGTCTGTCTTTATCGTTCACTCTTTTTGATAAGAACTGTTACTATGACAGCTTTAGATTGTTGCTCCCACAGCAACATATAGTGATGAAAATAGGAATACTGGAAGAATTAGTGCACGCAGTATAAGCACTGGCACCTCTGCCTCCTTTTATTTTCATGTTTTGCCATTGGGGGAACGCTGCATGTGCGGCGTGAAGCGAAAAACAAAGTACCCATCAGCAAGCGTTGTTATCACCTCTCAGGTTCGACGACTGAGGGGAGCCTCGGGGAAAAGCAGGAACGCCTTCAGCGGAGCGCATCAATAGTCGAAGCGTATGTCAACAATCGTAGGTTCTCAGAAATTCCGACCAAATCAGGCCTTCTGCTTGTCAGAGCAAATAAAAAAGACAACTCAGCTATACACATCTCTCTGTCTGGGTTTCCCGTCAGGCAGGTGGAGGAGATATGAATTTTCCGCCCGTTCATTCCCCACACTCAAACGTCAAACAAGACTACTGTTTCGAAACTCAAGACAGGTAGAGTAAATTGTGTTTCTAACAAGCGCGGTGGTCTGCGAGGCAGGGACGCACTTCGGCTTACCCATGCCTTCGTGAAAATCCGGATCCTCTACGCAGTACCATAACTTTGCACTAACAAGCAGGAAGGTGAAGCGACGCCCATGTCTGCAAGGCTACTGAGGCAGCTATGAACCTCCCGGCGGCTACGTCCAATGTTAGGGTTTCGGTGTGCTTAACTCTTACCAAGAAGTGCAGGAAGCCCACCTTATATGTCAATATACGGGGCTAATCCAGACGGCCCCTGTACGCTGCCTGCTCCACTGCTTATATATCCAACACGCTTGCACTCCAGAGGAGGCACTTACTCCAAATTTTTGGCGCCATGTGCTCTAGTTCACTCCGCTCCCCACTAACATGGACATGCACATAGATAATAGCAGCTAGGCAACAAGCGCGGGCTTGGATGCTTGAAAAACAACACGGCTACCCAACTGGTGTATACTACGCAGACATAGTAGGGCCGACACCTAAGGAATTTTATGCGGCTGCTCTTCTTTACCAGGCACGTCAACGTCAGGTAGAACATGTCAACGGACTATCCTTCCGAGCACAAAAGTCAGCGCAGACGGAGGGACTAGCAGTAGCACTTGCAGCCGTAGAACCCACTTCGAGGGCAAAAATAACATCTTCCAAAAAAACGTGTGTTCGTTACTTCAATGTAGAGAGGTGCTCTTTAGCCAACCATATTCTAAGGAGGGCTGCCACTGGTCCTACCCCGAAGCACGTATTTGGGCTCTGGGCCATAAGTGTTTATGTCGAAATGAGGCGGCCTGAGTGCTCACCCACCAGGCTTTTTACTCCAGCTTTAAACTCCTCTGCTATGGTTCAATGAAACAAATTCTTGCTATTGCCACACTCACCGCTTTCTGCCGGCTTCTGCAAAATGGCTGAGTAAGATTTATGAGCGAACTTCAAGGTGCCTGCAGACGGGTACCCTACTCTGTCCTAGAAATATGAAACACCTCGATCGAAACACGAATGGGTGGATCGACACTACTAGCCCTAGTTCATATAGCATTTCAATTTATTGCTTTCACATTGTGTGCCCTTTGCGGCGACACTCCTACTTCTTTCTATTTTTTTGTATTTTGCAGTTTGTAGCTGTAAAGCTCCATGACTCCATGTAAAGTTCCATGGCGGGTACCACCATGGAACCCAAAATTTGGCATTTTTGTTGTAATGAAATACTTTTCGAGGCTCGGTCGTCATACATTCTTAGAATATGCCTGCACTCCATTTTAGGAGCACGCAACAAAGAAATGCGCAACAGGACGGGTGCTGACTTTGTGATTGGAAGCAGCACGTGTCCTTACTCCATAGATAGAGTCAATTCTCCCTTGCTGTTTCTCTGCAGCCGTACGATTCATTTCATAATTTAGGAGAAGGGGGGGGGGGGGAGTCGGCATTTACGTTTTGCAATTCCTGAATTTTACGCTGGAGTGCCATTCGCCTATCTGCCATTTTTGTGTTTATACTTTTTCATCACCATGAAACTGAAAGAACACATGATGGAAAGCAGGCATTACGCATTGTGCAGGAACAGCACAAATCGTGAAAAAGAAAAGGAAATCAGAACTTAGACGTTAATTTACTTGCTATGATACCTCACTATTTTTTTTGTTTTACAAATATGACATAGATTCAAGCGAAGGATCATGCATTAAATCAAAAACATTATTTTACTCCGACGCAGCTGAGCCATGGGTGGCATCCGAGGAAGGGGATGTGCTGAGAGAAGGTGAGTCGTACAACACCGTCTTGCGTGGCCAGATTGGAATGCACACATTTGTGGTATCCGGAGAAGTAAAAGCTGTGGACCCTTCTGTTGAGTGCAAGCCAGGTTCTACAGCAAGCTACGTGGATTTCAAGACGAACCGTGTCTTCTCCGATGGATCACACCACTTGAATTTTCACAGGTAAGTGTTCACTGCAGTAAACCCAACTTACCCTTTTCTTTTACTTTTGCTTCACCTGTTCCGAGTGGGTTGATGAACAAAAAACTTTTTATTGAATACAGCATAGTTATGAAAATTTCTGTCAGTGCTAAAATTTAATCCGCAAAGCAGCCCTTGTGTATACCTTAGTGTCTCAGTGGTACAGTGGTTTCTGGCGTCACACTACTCACCCGAGGGTCCTGGGGTTATCTCGGCAGCTGAGATGGCAATTCGATGGAGGCGCAGAGCTGAAGATTTAAATCAGTAGCACAGTAAATAACCCCAGGTGGTTCCGAGTGTTTCACTTTAGCGTACTTCATAATCACGTCATAGTTCTTGCACGTAACATCCTGTCATGTTGGTTTTAGTTTAAAGCTTGCGTAATAGTGCAAATTGAGGAAATGTTTTTACCATGCTGCAAACGTTCTGTGCGGACAGCCTGCTTTTATAAGGAGTTTTCTAATAGTGTACGCAAAGTTAGGGGGCGCCCAGGGCGTATAGCGTTTGCATGTGGGTGCTGTATGAGCTTTAGAATAGCATTTCTTCACCACAAACGCTGGCGCATGCTCGAGTCATCTCAAAGGGGCTTTGCGGCCACCTTGTGGATGGACTGCAAATGCTAATGATCATTAGCTTTATGACGCAAGCACAGTGTCAGTGACTGCAATGAATAGCGTGTGCAATTCTTTGCATACGCCATTCGAAAACTTGCTAATGTCAGAGGATAGTGCCTACGTGGCCAAGCTGTGATAGTGAACAAGCTGAGAATGCTCGCCTACATTCCTGCACGCGGCAATATTATTACGTGTTACTAACAACAAAATAAAATTAATATGAACCACGCAACAAAAGCGATAATTTTTATGTTGCATATTCGTTGGCACCGTCCTTTAAAGTGGTCTCAAAATCAACGTTAGAGAAGTTAGCCTAGTACTGGCTCACTAAAGCTACCTGAAGGCAAGAGTAATCATTTTACACAGCAGTTTGCTACAAAAATAGTTGATTCGAAGCGGCCCAAGTAACCACGGATATCCACTGACTGTCCATAATGAATACAAATGTCCCGCCGTGTGGATATCTAACTCGAATAGCCAATGACTGTACTGTGAAAATCTATGTCCCGTGTGGCTGTTTTCCGGTCGTCCGATTGAGATGTCCGACCGGACATCAAGTTTTTGAACGTTGACTGGCTGTATATATAAGGACATGCCAAGGATATGTGTGTTTGCTCTCAAGTATTGTAAAATTAAAATGTAGTGAATATATATATATAAACACCTACCAAATCCCTGGTGACAATCTTATAAAATTTCATTAAAAAGCTACTCGAAAATTCATTCAAACTTGAGCGCATGCATTTGATTCCAGGGTGCCAAATACTTTTGCTTCATGCGGCAAAACAATCTGGTTGATTCAATATATGTTGCATATGTCATTAGAAACAATGTATTTAGTGTTATTATTATCGCATGTGAACTGACGAAAATGCAGATCGAGTGCGTCATAACAGTCATCATGTAGGCAAGCTTTCATGCGCCATACTCGACACTTCTGAACAAACGGTGCACTGCAGTCGCTCAGATTCCTCGAACGTACACATTACACTAGCTATGCCCCTCTGGATGTGTTGGAAGAAGACATGCCCCGTTGGGCCTATTGTCCCGAAACCTGCTTGACCAGCGGCGCACAAAGGGAAGGAGCGGGAAAAAGGAAGGTGTTCGTGTTGCATTGCACGTATGTATGCTGAGGCGGTCTCCGAGGCTCCGAGCGCAGAAGGCAGTTTTTTTTTTCAAGTTCGTTCTTGTGGACATCAACATCAATATGTGAAGTTACGATAGATGACTCTTTTACAAAGCACCGAAACGTGGCACGAGCTCACTACTGTTTTTGGCAGAGATTTCCGCGGCAAGCAGCAGCAACCCCGCTCACTCGCACGGAACAGATAAGGCCACTTGTTACATATCTGTTCTTTACATCTTATATCGAACATTTATCTATTTTTATCACGCGTTAACTATTGCCCATCATTTGTATGAGCCCTGCTAGTACCTGGCATGTTTCAGCTCTTCATTTGCTCGCATATTCTTTGCTATTAACCGATTTAGGACGAGCACGTGGTCGGAGCCTGTATGCCTTCTTTAAAAGCATGTGCTACACCCATTAGTTATTCTCCTGTGCTTGTTCGTATGTACGTATTGCGGTTACCAGAATAACATTGCCATAAACAAGCGGGAGTTGGGCTTCTTGCTAAAAATTTAATCAACCCGCAAAGAAACAGTTGGTGCCACCTAAGAAGTCATCGCATGTGAAGGCGTAAGGGCATTGAACACTGAAATCTTAGAAGACTACATACACACTTTCACAATCACGGCTGCGGATTGTGAGAAATGTGCTTCTTAGTTTTGATATATGTTAGTAATAAAGATTGGATGGTTCTTGAAAGCCCGCTTGGACTCTACTTTCTTTTAGAATTCATTTGCAGCAGAAGAGCTCCCATGGAAAAAAGACGGGCCTCCGAGGCTGTGTGGGTACATTGTTCACATGAGAGGTCTTTCTTGAATACACACTAGCTATATACACACACAAGCAATTTCATATATATATATATATATATACATATATATATATATCTGTGTGTGTGTGTGTGTGTGTATGTGTGCGTGTGTGTGTGTGACGTAAGAAGAAAGACAGTGACTGATGGTGGAGGCAGAGGACGAGGAAGTGCTTTAGAATAAACATGGCGTATGAACCAGGCCACGTCTCCCATTCGTCATAGCGTCACACGAGTCGACGGGATGAAGACCTGGCCGCCGCTCATCAGCCTCACATCATTCACGAAGCCACCGGCATCTACGCGTCAAATGAATATCGACCACAGAAGAGGTGATCTCAGGCGCATGCAGTTTGCGGCATTATGACAAAACCATCGACTGACCTTCCCGTCCCCAAGTACACCGGAGCTGCATATGATAGACTTGTACAGGACTGGTTCGACCTGTTCGAGCTCCACGCTACCACTGCATCATGGTCGGAATGGGAGATGGTTACAAACTTCAGCAACTACGTGACTGATGAGGCATTCAAATTTTACCTTACATACATATTCGATAACGATGAATCGTGGCAATAGATGAGAGAAGATATGATTGCCCGTTTTAATGACTATGACAAGAACTTCCTCATTACTAACCGTCTGGAGACAGTCACACTCGGCAGTCACAGTCCACGATCTTTACTCAAGGGTGTGGGGATGCTGACACCCCCTCTGTAAAGTTGTCTGCGCCGCGTGGCGCACGTGTCTCGCCCAAAGGCTTTATTTCGGTGGTGACCACCGCCGGGCGATAGATGGCGATGTGTTCGCTTTGAGTGCCACTGTTGGTAGAGTGGTAGCGCCGGCGGTGGCCCCTGGCGGAAGGCAGGCCTTGGTGGTGGGCGAGAGTTGAGTGAGCCTCTTCTGCGCGCAGCGGCTGCCGCAAACGGTTGTCTGTGGCGTGGGTCCCCGGTGCTCGGCACCGCGGGCTTCGCGCTGGGGTCCCACGTGAAAAGTCAGGCGTCGACGCCGCCTTGGGTACTTGTTAGTGTGTTGGGTGTGTTAGTGTGTGTTTATTATGTTATTGTGTGTTTAGTGTGTCACTGCGTTATGTTGTTTGTATGATAGCGTGTTAATTGAAATTGGTGTATAATTTGGCCGACGATATCGTCGTCTAAATTAGTTGATAAATATATGTATGTTGTGTACTTTGTACCGACCGCGTTTGCTGTGTCCGTTCACTTCAAGAGCGTGGCGATGCGCTCGTTCACCTCGCCGAGACCCTACAAGGTACATAGCTTTCCATCAAGTTTCTCTTCCCGAAAGCCGGTATTTTCAAAGTCGTCGCTCCAGCATACGACACGGAATCTCGCTCGCCCACCTGATGCCCTTCATTCTTCATCTGGCATGCGTGGGCCCACCACCCGGTTTTCCATCACGCTGCTCTTCAAGCGCTCCTTACACTCAGCCGTTGCCTCATAAGGACGCCGTGTTCGCGATAGAGGAGCTGACGCATCGTGAAAATATCCTGTCGAGCCATACTCCTTCCACACGGGCTCATGCATCACCATTCAGTGCATACACACTTGACACTCGAAGCAAAACAGAAGGATCAGACGCATCGAACCTCGCACGTTGCCTGGCACAAGAGCCTGTTGTAGTTAACAGCGTAGGAGAAGCTTCTGAAGAGCTTTCTGTCAACTGTGAAGCATTATCTTGATTGCCCGAACTGTATGACAACAGCCTACAGACTACCAGCTAATGTTCAAGAAGGGCTCCCACCGCAACACATTCCACAGCAACATCAGCAATGCCAGCAAAAGTGTCTTCAAGACTACAAGAAAATTCGATTACAACCAACCATAACGATGCATTCAAATTCAGTAATCACAGTCATAGGCAGCCTCTACGCATTTGAGCACAGAGCAGAATTTTACATTTCCCGTCAGGCGAAGTCAGCCATGTGCTCATGGAAAGACATCCCGGCCGTTTTTCTACAAGCGCAATCTTCTACCTCGTTCCCATCTGCACAAATATCGCCAAGGCTAACCTCTTCCATACAATACACAAATCAAGACATTATTCAAGCACCCAATGTACTTGACTCTTCCTCTTGCTTATGTAAGCCACCACCTGGTTTTGGGTCAAGTAGCTTTTTTGGCGCGCGTCCCTCACATCGCACGCCTCAGGATATCGCTATATACGCAACAGACCACCTGAAATATCTGCCTCATACCTTGTCAAGCCACTGCCATTCCGAAAGTGGCTGTACTTCAGGAACGCTTAGCTCAATTGTCCCGGAAAGAAACAAACATAAGGAATTGAAAGCACATCAAGCCATGTTTTGCTGCGATCTCATCCTCAGGAGCTGAACCAACCGAAAGTCAAAAACGCAAGGATTCACCATTGAATGTGAGTCTCATTGATAAAAATTAAAAGGCATCTACTGCTT